AAGAGAATGATTTAATAATAGAACTGCTGGGAAACAGGAAGTTTATTCATTTTTCCCTAAAAGTTAAGGGGAAGCTTTCTAGCGAGCTCTCTAGAGCTCTGCTCTCACAGGTCAAAGGAGAACTCAGAAGTTTTGAACTCTGCATCCTCGTTCTCGGGAGCTGCATCTCACACGGCAGCACAGGATGCTCTGCGCGGCCAGCAACGTTTCACAAACACCCTGCATCCAACCAGCCGCTTCCTGCGCCGCCGGAGAGCAGGAAGGAGAAACGCGGCTCTGAGAAAAGAGCAGAGACACGTAAAGGACAGGGGGACAATCCTGACACCCAGGGGCTTCGGCAGAACAGGCTAGTCCAAGAGCATCCAGCGTTTCCCCAAGATGGGGCACGTTCAATCCCTGCAAACGTTTCCTCTCTGCTGCTCCTGGAGCTTCGCTAGCAAGAAAAGAAAGTATTTGCTGGACAGGTAACACACAGCTCAGCTCCTGCCCTCCTAGGGTATCCTCCTGGGCTGGAAAATGTCAGGCCAGATTGAATAACACCCCCGGGAAGGACTGCAAGCTGAGACAGGCACGCGGACGTAAGCGCAGGACATTCCAGTGGATGCAGCAGAGGCTTTTGCTGGAGTTAAGGGATTCAGGGCCCGCGAGTGGCGGCAAGTCAACATTTCACAGGCCACGCACGGGTGATTTATGTTACAGTCATATTTCATTACCAAAGCACCCAGGGTAGAAAATCAGCATGGCACTACCACTGTTTTTAGAAACAACAGTACTAAACCACTTGCAAGAGCTGCACATTGCCAGAAAACTCATACTTTAAAGCAGCAAAGGAAATGCCACCCACTCCCTCCAAATGAGGAAAAGAAAGGTTAAATTTAAGATGCTGCGAATTCATAGTCAAAAAGCAACCAGAAGCTTTAGAAAAGATGTTGTTACAGTTAAAGCTGCTAAAACAAACTGGATCACTACGCTCAGCACAAGGAGGAAAACACCTCTAATTAGATGTCTCTTCTGTGGCTCAAAAGCTATTCCTAAACTGTTTCCCTCCTGAGGGATGGAGGCACTCGGGAAGCAGCCATCTCTGTCTGCCCCCCTGCTCCTCGGGGTGCCACTGACCGAGGACACCCGTGCAGTGTACGAGAGGCCACGCAGCACAGGAGAGGTGCGCGCTGAAGACCAGCAAACCGCGCCGAGTCCTGAGGAGCTAAGTTACACTAATCATAATGGAATTATTTACGCTGAGCCTTGAAAGCTGGACTCTTCCCCGTAGAGCGGCGCGTGGCAGAGCTGCGCGGCCGCAGCAGAGCTCGGCTCCCCGCGCTCAAGGAGCAGGAAGCCTGCTTGGCGCATGGCCCGTGCAAGCCACGCTAACGCAGTGGCCGGCCCGTGCTCACCGCACGTGCAACCCTCCCGGGCAACAGGGAAGGGAATGGAGCTCGCAAAAGCCATCCTGGGCTCACGCAAGTCGGAACGCAGTGCCAAAGGGAGGAAACGCAATGGAAGCTGCGTGACAACCTGAGCACAAGCGCAAGACCCCGACCCTGCCCTTCCCTTAAAGGTTTAGATGACTAGAGGAGCGTCCCACTCCTCAGACTCGGGGGAAGGGGAGGCCTTTGGGGGTGTTTTCGTGCAAGCAGGTTTCCATGCTCGGGCCCGGTCAATTAAGGCACACACCGGTCTGAAGCGGGCAAGGGGGCGGGTGGGAAGCGGCAGGG